AGTGCCCCCAGTGCCCCCAGTACCACGATGGTGCTGAGCTGCACGAAGGCGAAGCCGCGGTTCAGCTGCGTTTGCCGATCTTTGATCACGCGCACGTTGGCGGCCGAGAGCGCCGCGAAGGGAGCGAGCGCGGCCAGGATGGACTCCAGGCTGCTCTGGGGGTGCAGGTTCCGCAGGATGATGGCTGGGGGGACAGCGGGGACACCTGGGTGCACCTGGGGGTACACCTGGGCACACCTGGGGGCACCTGGGGGCACACCTGGGAGCACCTGGGCACACCTGGGCACACCTGGGGCACACCTGAGCACACCTCACCACACCTGGGGGCACTTGGGGGCATCTTGGGACACACCTGGGCACACCTGAGGACACACCTGAGCACACCTGGGCACACCAGGGTACACCTAGGGGCACCTGGGGGCACCTGGCAAAGGGAGCGAGCGCAGTCAGGATGGACTCCAGGCTGCTCTGGGGGTGCAGGTTCCGCAGGATGATGGCTGGGGGGACAGCGGGGACACCTGGGCGCACCTGGGGGTACACCTGGGCACACCTGGGCACATCTGACCACACCTTGGGGCACCTGGGGGCACCTGGGCACACCTGAGCACACCTGGGAACACACCTGGGCACACCTGAGCACACCTGGGCACACCTGGGCACACCTGGGAGCACCTGAGCACACCTAGGTACACCTAGGGGCACCTGGGCACACCTAGGGGCACCTGGGCACACCTGGAAGCACACCTGGGGGCACCTGGGAGTACACGTGGGGACACCTGAGCACACCTGGAAATACCTAGAGATACCTCAGGATACCTGAGGGCACCTGGAGGTACCTCAGGATACCTGGGGGCACACCTGGGCACACCTGGGGGCACCTGGGGATGTCTCAGGATACCTGAGGACACACCTGGGTGCACCTGGAGGGACCTCAGGATACCTGGGGGCACACCTGGGGGCACCTGGGGATACCTGGGCACACCTAGGGACACCTGAAGAAACCTGAATCCTCCCAGTCCTTCCCCTTCAGCCCCCCACCACAAATCCCCCAGATCCCCCAGATCCCCCAGGACCCCTAAATCCATCCCAAAATGCCCAATTAAAACAAACAAAAAAAATCCCCCCAAAAAAATCCCCAAATCCACCCCAAAATAAAAAAAAAATATCCCCAAAATCCAACAAAAAATCCCCCCAAAAACGCCCAAATTCCCCCCAAACCCCCAGCCCCACACTCACTGTCGTTGGCGTTGTCAGCTCCGGGCTCGGTGCCCCCCTGGGACCCCCCGGGGGGACCCCCGAGGGTGGGGCCGTAGGGTTGGGGGAGGGGCAGGAGCCCCCCTCCCCCACCGGGCACCAGCTCCGGACGGGGACCCCCCGGACCCCTCTGCTCGGCCTCTGCACCCCAAAAAAACCCAAAATCAGGGATTGAGACCCCCAAAAAAACCCAAAATCAGGGATTGAGACCCCCAAAAAACCCAAAATCAGGGATTGAACCAACCAAAAAAGCCCCAAAATCAGGGATTGAGACCCCCAAAAAAACCCAAAATCAGGGATTGAGACCCCCAAAAAAACCCAAAATCAGGGATTGAGACCCTCAAAAAACCCCAAAATCAGGGATTGAACCAACCAAAAAAGCCCCAAAATCAGAAACCGAACCCCAAAAAACCCCAAAATCAGGGAATAAACCCCCCAAAAAACCCCAAAGTACCCCCAAAAAACACCAAATCAGGGATTGAGACCCTCAAAAAACCCCAAAATCAGGGATTGAACCAACCAAAAAAGCCCCAAAATCAGACACCGAACCCCAAAAAACCCCAAAATTAGTGACTAAACCCAAAAAACCCCAAAATCAGGGAATAAACCCCCCAAAAAACCCCAAAGTACCCCCAAAAAATACCAAATCAGGGATTGAAACCCCCCAAAAAGCCCCAAAATCAGAAACTGAACCCCAAGAAACCCAAAAAGCCCCCCAAAATCAGTGACTGAACCAAAAAAACCCCAAATCAGTGACTGAACCCAAAAAAACCCAAAATCAGTGATTGAACCCCCCAAAAAACCCAAAATCAGGGATGGAACCCCCAAAAAACTCCCAAATCAGGAATTGAACCCCCCAAAAAACCCAAAATCAGGGATTGAACCTCCACCCTCCCAAAAACTCCAAACCAGGGACTGAACCCCCCAAAAAACCCCAAAATCAGGGATTGAACCAACCAAAAAAGCCCCAAAATCAGAAACCGAACCCCAAAAAACCCCAAAATCAGGGAATAAACCCCCCAAAAAACCCCAAAGTACCCCCAAAAAACACCAAATCAGGGATTGAAACCCCCCAAAAAGCCCCAAAATCAGAAACTGAACCCCAAGAAACCCAAAAAGCCCCCCAAAATCAGTGACTGAACCCAAAAAAACCCAAAATCAGGAATTGAACCCCCCAAAAAACCCAAAATCAGGGATTGAACCTCCACCCTCCCAAAAACTCCAAACTAGAGACTGAACCGCCAAAAAAACCCCAAAATCCTAAAAATCAGGGATTGAACCCCCCAAAAAACCCAAAATCAGGGATTGAACCTCCACCCTCCCAAAAACTCCAAACTAGAGACTGAACCGCCAAAAAAACCCCAAATCAGTGACTGAACCAAAAAAACCCCAAATCAGTGACTGAACCCAAAAAAACCCAAAATCAGTGATTGAACCCCCCAAAAAACCCAAAATCAGGGATGGAACCCCCAAAAAACTCCCAAATCAGGAATTGAACCCCCCAAAAAACCCAAAATCAGGGATTGAACCTCCACCCTCCCAAAAACTCCAAACCAGGGACTGAACCCCCCAAAAAACCCCAAAATCCCAAAAATCAGGGATTGAACCCCCCAAAAAACCCCGAAATCCCAAAAATCAGTGATCAAACCCCAAAACCAGCGATTCAACCCCTAATCCAGGGGGTCCCCTGCAGGTTGGGGGGACACCCCAATAATTTTGGGGAGTTTCAGGACAGTTTAGGGCATTTAGCGGGGTGTTCCCCAAAGTTTTGGGGTAAAATCCCGGGATTTGGGGTCACTCACCGGCTTTGGGGACGCCACACTTGAAACATTTCTCACGGCGCTTGAAGTTCTGCACCCCGCACTGGGAACCCCAAAAACGTCACAGCCCAAAAATGTCACAGCACCCCAAAACTGCCCTGGACCCCCAAAATAACAGCATCCCAAAATTTCTGCACCCCGAAATTGTCACACCCCAAAACTGCCCCAAACCCCCCAAAACAAAGCACTCCAAACCATCACACCCCAAAACTGTCCCACCCCAAAACTGCTGCCCCCTAAAGCCACTGCACCCCAAAATTGTCACGCCCCAAAAATGTCACAACCCAAATTGGTCACACCCCAAATGCGCCAAACCCCAAAACCGCCTTGGACCCCCAAACCCACCCCCAGAGCACCCCAAAAATGCAGCACCCCAAGAATGCAGCACCCCAAAACCTCTCAAGCTCCCCAGGACCCCTCCAAAACCCCCAAAATGTGCCCTCCCAGTGCCCCCCAGTGCCCCCCACCTTGGCACAGAGCCAGTCCTCGTTGATTTTGGGTTTGGGGTCGCTGTAGTGCAGGGACACGCGGTGCCCCAGCAGGGTCAGCCCGGCCTGGGGGGCACAGCGGGGTCAGGGGGCACAGGGACACGCCGTGCCCCAGCCTGGCCCGGGGGGGCACAGGGGGGGCACCAGCACACAGATCTGGGGGGCACCAGGGCTGGAACTGGGGGGCACCGAGGTTTGAGGTGGGGACACCAGAGCTTGTCCTGAGGGGCACCAGGGGTGGAATTTGGGGGCACCTGGGGGGCACCAGGACACAGGTTTGAGGTGGGGACACCAGAGCTTGTCCTGAGGGGCACCAGGGGTGGAATTTGGGGGCACCTGGGGGGCACCACGACATGAATCTGGGGGGCACCAGGACACAAATCTGGGGGGCACCTGGGGGGCACCATGACATGAATCTGGGGGGCACCAGGACACCAATCTGGGGGGCACCAGGACTAAAGCTGGGGGGGCACCAGGGCTGGAATTTGGGGACACCAGGACTCGTTTTGAGGGGCACCAGGGGGGCACAAGGGGAACACAAACCCATAAATCTGTGGGGTACCAAGCTGGGCACCAGGACATGAAATGGGGGCACCAGGGTGTGAACTGGGGGGCACCAGGGTGTGAACTGGGGGAGCACCAGGGCTGGAATTGGGGGGCACCAGGGTGTGAACTGGGGGGCACCAGGGGGGCACCAGGGCTGGAATTCAGGGGGCACCAGGAGCCATTCTGGGGGGCACCAGGATCTGAACTGGGGGGCACCAGGACACAAATCAGGGGGGCACCAGGAGGGGCACCACGGCTGGAACTGGGGGGGCACCAGGGTGTGAACTGGGGGGGCACCAGGGCTGGAACTGGGGGGGCACCAGGGTGTGAACTGGGGGGCACCAGGATGTGAACTGGGGGGCACCAGGGCTGGAACTGGGGGGCACCAGAAGCACACCAGGATTTGAACTGGGGGGGCACAAGGACACAAATGAGGGGGGTACCAGGGTTTGATTGGGGGGGCACCAGAAGCACACCAGGGTAGGAACTGGGGGGCACCAGGGGGGCACCAGGGCTGGAATCCGGGGGGGGCACCAGGAGCCATTCTGGGGGGCACCAGGATCTGAACTGGGGGGCACCAGGGCTGGAATTCGGGGGGCACCAGGAGCCATTCTGGGGGGCACCAGGACGTGAACCGGGGCACCAGAGCTCATCCCGGATGGCACCGGCAGCTCGGACTGGGAACACTGGGACAGGCACCAGATCGCTGCGCCCATCCCCCACTGCGGGGACACGGCCACCAGTACGGACCAGTACAGACCACTACAGACTGGGATGGACCAGTACAGACCAGTACAGACTGGTACGGACCAGTACAGACTAGTATGGGCCCATACGGACCAGTACAGACCAGTACAGACTGGTATGGACCAGTACAGACCAGTACAGATTGGTATGGACCAGTCCAGACTGGTACAGACCAGTACAGACTAGTACGGGCCCGTATGGACCAGTACAAACCAGTACAGACTGGTACAGACCAGTACAGACTAGTATGAGCCCGTACGGACCAGTACAGACCAGTACAGACTGGTATGGCCCGCACGGACCAGTACAGACTGGGATGGGCCCGTACAGACCAATACAGCCCAGTACAGACTGGTATGGACCAGTACAGACCAGTACAGACCAGTACAGACTGGTACGGGCCCGTACGGACCAGTACAGACCAGTACAGACTGGTATGGGCCCGTACAGACCAGTACAGACTGGTACGGGCCCGTACGGACCAGTACAGACCAGTACAGACTGGTATGGACCAGTACAGACCAGTACAGACCAATACACACCACCACCATCCCGTAAACCCTGCCCCCACCCCTCTCCTCCCCTCCCCCACCTGCTTGGGGGTTTCCCCTCCCCCACCCACTA